GATTTAGTGAGATCGCCATTGAGAAAGGCGTTATTGACGTCAACTTGTTAAACCTCCCAACCATGGCTTACCGCAAGTGATAGAATGACTCGAATGGTGGATGCTTTGATTACTGGAGAAAAGGTTTCAAAATAATCCACTCCGGGAGTTTGATGAAATCTTTTGGCAACAAGTCTTGCCTTGTAACATTGAACACTGCCATCAGAGTTTAGTTTCACCTTAAAGACCCATTTATTGCCAACAAGGGTCATATCCTCGATATATGGAACCAGAGACCAAGTTCAGTTATGTTAGAGAGCTTCATACTCGACATTCATAGCTTGCACCCAAAGAGGATTAGTTAAAGCTGATGCTGTACTAGTTGGTTCTTTATGGGATTCAGGATTGAGGGTAGTAACAAGGGCTGTTGCCTTTCTTCGGGTGATCATAGGGTGTGTGTTCTGGACAGTTGTGGTGGTAGGTTATGGTGTGTTTTGGACAATTGTGGTGGTAGGTTGATCTTGGGAAGAAGGTACTTGAGTGGTGTAAGAACTGAGATCAACTTCAAGTGTTAAAGGTGGAGCTGAGGACTGAGAAGTGGACTTGGTGGACATATTTTGTGTTGAAGGTGTTGTAGATGGCACATGCGAATTATGAATGGTGACAGGAAGCTTCCAAGGTTGAGATGGAGATGACAAGGATGCCTCAGTTGCTGAAGGATGAATGATAGAAAAGTCTTTACCGAAAGGAAGCTTTTGTTCATTGAATTGGACACTTTGCACGATGTAAACTCTTCCATGATTGTTGAGACATAAGTACCCCTTGTGAATAGAAATGTACCCAAGGAGAACACATTGCTCAGAATAAAAAGCAAATTTGTGTTTTTGATAGGGTCGAATAAAGGGAAAACATTGACAACCGAAGATGCAGACAACCTTGTAGTCTGGTACTTTGTGAAAAAAAAGATACAAGGGAGTTTGATGTTGCAAAACTGAGGATGGTAATCTGTCAATCAGGTACACGACGGTGTGGAAAGCAAACCACCAGAATTGTAGTGGCATGGAGGCTTGTGCTAGTACTGTGAGTCCTATTTCAGTAACATGACGGTGTTTGCGTTCAATCCTACCATTCTGCTGATGCGTATGAGGATAGGGGTTCCAAAAATGGATCCCCTGCTGGCAAAGAAACAGGTAAAAGGTCTGAACTCTCCTCCCCAGTCTGACTGAAATGCTTTTATTTTGGTGTCAAATTGTTGATCTACTAGTTGTATGAACTGTTTAACAACTATGGTTACCTCTGATTTCAGTTTGAGGGGATAAATTCAAGAGTATCTAGTATGATCATCAACAAGAAGTAAGTAATATCTGAATCCAGTAGTTAAAATTATAGGGGCAGATCCCCAAACATCTGCATATACCAACTCAAAAGGTTTACTTGCTTGAGAGTGTGATGAAGGAAAAGAGTTTTGGTGAAGCTTACCATATTGACAAGCTTCGTAAAACTGAATTTTATTAATGTTGTCCGTTACATTCAACGTTTGTACAAGAGAGTTAAGGACAGAAACATGAGGATGGCCTAATCTCATATGCCATAAATCTCCTTCACTAACTGATGCTGGAGCTTGGCTTTTATTTTCTTCTATAGCGGGTACATTACTGAAATCTTGCTGTCCAGTGGAATTATGTAAACAGGAAAGTCCAGAAAAGGAGGTTATTGCTCGTGATTGTTGCAATGGAGAAGATTGTAATGAGGTAGATCTTTGTTGTCGGCAAGCTCATTTCCACTTGGGATATCAAGTTGATACAATCCATTGTGTAAAGATCCTTTAAGAAGCACAACCTGAGAAGTCTTGTCCTTTATAACACAATCATCTGCAGAGAACTCAACAAACACATTTTTATCTCTTGTAATTTTTGAAATACTCAGCAGGTTCTTGGTCACAAGTAGAACACACAGTATGTTTTTAAGCTGAATAGATTTGTTCATACAAGAGGAAGGTAAGATAGTCAAACCTGTATGAGAGATGCCAAGACACTGCCCACTCCCAACTTGTAGAGATTCAGTTCCAGTGTATTGATTTTTGACTGAGAGATTTTGAAGATCAGGTGTTATATGATGAGTGGCACTTGAGTCAATAAACAATTTGGATCTAAAACTGTTAGAGGAGTTGCTATCTGATTTGGTTGAGTTATTGCAGTTTGCTTGTTCAGCTCATTTTCTCTTGAATGTCCATAATGTTGATGTGACAAATTTAGTCCAGAAAAAGAAGTGTTTACTGGAATGTTGTTTTGAAGGAGCTGCGGATGATGTGCCATTGGTGAAGAGGTTTGGTAGGACTGTCTTGGATAGTAATTCCAGTAACCAGGCTGAGTGGTTGCAAGAAAAACTTGTGCAAGAGTTGTGGATTGAGTATGCTGTTGTGAAATATTATATTCTGTTCCAAATTGTGGTCGTTGATTCTGATTTCCTTGAAAGGAAGTGTCAAAGCGATGATAGCATTGCAAGGCCATGTACAATTGGCAAAATGGTCTAGGCTTATAAAAGTTTCGGCCTCTTCCTCTACCTCTGCCAAAATTTGGATTATAGGATTGAAAACTTTGAGTAGGTGGGTAGGAGTGTTTAGGTTCATGTTGACTTTGGGAGTGAGGATGTATAGGTTGATTTGTTTGCTGTCCTGAGGTATTTAACATTGATGTGGTCAGTTGAGAGTTGGAAGGCTGTTTGTTTGCCAAGAAGGCAGCAACTTCATGAAAACCTATATAGGCAGAATGTTGTTTCTCCAGTCTCATTTTGTGTTTATGTAAAAGGAATTGTGCTTCCTATAATGATACTTCACTACTCCTAGCAGTTAAAGTGGCTACCATTGCATCATATTCAGCTCCAAGTCCATCAAGAATGTATAAAAGTAACTCTTCATCAGTTACAACCACACCACTGGTGGTCAAAGAATCAACAATTTCTTTCATTCTAAGCACATAAGCATTTATGCTAGAGTTATCTTTCCTAGTCGTTTGCAGTTGATTTCTTAGGTGTAGGATCCTAGCCTTAGAATCTGTTAAAAAATGCATCTCTAATGTGTGCCATATATCAAATACTATATCATAGTTAGCAACGTGCTTGAACATAGTTTCTGAAATGGTGGATATCAACCAGGTAAATAACAATTGATTAATCCTTTTCCATGCTAACTGTTCTTGATTAACAGTCTATTTTGATTCATCAGTTTCAGATTGAGTAAAGGTAGGAGGGCAAGGTTTCTCAATGTAACAAAGCCTTCTAGCTCATAAGCTTTTAGTGTAGGAAGAACTTGAGACTTCTAGTAGGCATAATTTCGTTCTTCTAGCTTCATAGTGATGGTAGGTAGAGTGCTGTTTAGTGTTGAGACAGAAGCTGAATTCATAGGCTTTCCTTTTGTGTTAAGAACTGAGGTGAGAAGTGTCTTAGGATTTGCCATTGACGTATGTCAACTTGGCTCTGATACCAAGAGAAAGAACAAAACAAACAGAGGAAAAGAAAGAATTAGAACAAACAAAAAATTATGGAAACTGTTATTGTTTTTATTCCATTTTCTTGAATAATAAAATGCAGAGTACACTTATGTCTTATATACACCTGAACGTAGAGTACAAACTCTAGTCAATTTAGATCTACACCATTAATTCAAAAACCAAGAGATTCATTGTTCACCATTCGATCATAACTGAAGAACACACTCTCTTTGCCGCATGCAAGTTGATTAACAACTTGCATTAATTGCATGCAAGTTGGTTAGCAAGTTGACTTAACTGGCTGCAAGTAGCTTGGCAAGTTTTTCTTCACGTTGCATTCCCAGAGTCATGCAGACCATACTCTGCTTTGAGTTGAAGCTTGAACATCTTTTCTGTCAACAGAGATAATGTTATCCATAAATCAAATTGAATGATTTAGTGATGATATATTTATGTTCATGAGATGACAATGAATTATGTGGCTGTTTATAATTAGGTTGTTTGTTGTTGATTATTATTTATGTTTAGTAAAAAAACTGCACAAAATATATATATAAAAAACCTATCCTTTTGCTGTATGAAATAAATCATAAGTTATATGGTTTGTGGTCCCTTATGTTTGTTTGTGGGTTGTGGTCCCTTGATGTTTGTGGTGCCTTGATGTTTTCTTTATTGCTTCTCTAATGTTTGTAAGGCCATCACATGTTTATTGTTAAACAAAGTACAAGCCAGTTTCAAATATTTTTTCTTGTTGCAAGGAGATCTTTGTCTATTCTTGAAAAGAAAATGAGCACTGAAACAATCCACAGCTGTGAGAATAGTTGATACAGATATCAGAACATTGGCACAAATAAATACAAACATGATCTAGGGACCACAAAGCACAGAAATGGAAAAACAAAGAACAAAAATGGCAAAAGGCTATCGATTTGCATTAAATAAAATACATAAGATTTTTTCAAAACCTCAATGCTCTCTTTTGCCTTCTCCTTGAACTCAATGCAAATGTGCAATTGAAAGTTATACCAAAAGATGCAACAATGATAATAGGTTTATGTTACAAAAACTTATTATCAACATAAACTTATTACAAAAGCTTACTGAACTTATTATTAACATAAACAACTAATTATTTCTAGAACTTATTACAAAAACTTATTATCAACATAAACACACACACACACACAAAAAATTATTACAAAAACTTAAAAGATGCATATTTAAGATTTTTAATCAAGCACAATGAAAAAAAAGACAAAAAAATATTAGTTCTTTGTTGACAATATCAAAAACTTTTTAAACATAAACAACTAACTATTAATTGTTTGTAAAGATTAGCTTGAGAAATCATTGTTTATGTATCTTTTCTTTCATCCTCATTAAATTACTTGACTAAATCAAATTTTATAAAAAGAGTTGACTTCTTTCTTTCTATAAATATGCATGATTCATGTTAAATGAGTCTAAAAGGAATTCAAACCCACAAAAAATCATATTCTCATTGTCTTTCCATTACTATGTATGTAAATCACTATGGGTTACTATGTATGTCTTCTTGTCTTTCCATTACTATATATGTAAATCACTATAGGTTATTATTCTTGTACAATTTCTTATTGTTTTATTTGTTTAAAACTTCTTATTAGGTATGCAATATGGATAAATTTCTCAAAAGAAAATCAACAATAGACCAATCATCCTTATTAGTCCAAGAAAATAAAGCTAATGATAAAGAAAATGATCCATTAAAAGAAAGTCATGTAGAACTAGAAACCATCTTGAAAGATCTTCCATCTGATCCAACTCTACGGCCTAAAATCAATCATTATCATCCTAAGTATAGGGATACAATTCAAAGATTTTACTTGCAAAAGAGTTGTTGCCAGCCTCGAAATCATGCATTTCCATTGGCAAAATTTGGAAAAGGATATCGTCGATTTAATCCTACTTGGTTTGATGTGTATGATGATTGGCTTGAGTATAGTGTGACCAAAGATGCTGCATTCTGTTTGTATTGTTATCTTTTTAGACCTGCCATTATAAGCCAAGCTGGTAGTGATGCCTTCGTTAATGAGGGATTTTGTAATTGGAAGAAACCAGAACGCTTTCAAATTCATGTTGGCCTGCCAAATAGTGCTCATAACCAAGCACGACAGAGTTGTGTGAATTTAATGAATCAAAAGCAACATATCAAAGTGGCTCTATCTAAGCAACCAGATCAAGTTAGGACTGAATACTGAACTCACTTGACTGCATCCATTTTTTGCATTATATTTCTTTTGCGTCAAGGGTTGGCATTTTTCGGTCATGATGAAACTGAAGACTCGAAGAACCAATGTAGCTTTCTCGGACTTCTTCATTTTTTAGCTCAGCATAATGAACATTTTAAGAGTGTTGCTTTGAAGAATGCACCAGGGAATCTTAAATTGATAGCACCAGTGATTCAGAAAGATATTGTAAATGATGCGGCAAATGAAACCACAAAAGCTATCATTAGTGATCTTGGAGATGACATATTTTCAGTTTTGATTGATGAGTCTCGTGATGTGTCAATTAAAGAACAAATGGCTATTGCCATATGTTATGTAGATAAAAATGGTCATGTACTTGAGCGATTTGTTGGCATTGTACATTGATAGAATGAAGGACAAAAGTGGAATTTAGCTAAATAAGAATTGTAAAACGATGTCGTTTCCTTTATCATGCAATACTTGCTTATAAGCTCATCACGTGTACTCTGTTTCAGTTAGTTAGAAAAAGAATCATTTTCAGCTTTTCAGTTTTTGTTCTCTGTTTTGCTTTCTCTCCATTTTCGTTTTCTTGAACTCATAGAAGAAGATTTCTCTTCATCCTTTCATGGTATCAGAGCCTTAGACACACGTCTTTGGCAAAGATTTGATCCTGCGTTGTCTTTCAATTTTCTGGTTTTCTTGTCAATTCAAGTCTCTGTTTGTGAAAACTTCTCTGTGAAAAACAGATGGAGAATACCTTAGTTCAATTGGAGAATCCGATTACACCGCCAACACTTCCTTCAATCTCTGTCAAGTTGAGTGACAAAAATTATAATTACTGGAAGTCTCAAATCCTTCCAGCTCTCACTGGCCATGGACTTGAAGGTCATATTACGGGAGAGAAAGTCTATCCTCCGATGTTCATCATAGACAAGACAGATGGATCTGAGCAACCAAAGAAAAGAGGTAACCCTAACTACTTTTCTTGGCAACGAACTGATCAGTTCTTAGTAAGCTGGTTAAATTATACTATTTTCGAGTCCATATTTCGTCATGTTGGGAAATGTATTACTGCTTATGATATTTGGAATACACTTGAGATGCACTTTCATTCAGCCTGTAAGGCTCGAACTTTACATTTGAGAAGTCTTTTACAAAGTACTAAGAAAGATGCACTTACTATGAATGAGTATGTATTGAAAATGAAAGAACTTGGTGATGAGTTAGTAGCCAGTGGAGTCTTAATCAGTGATGAAGAACTGTTATTATACATATTAGACGGACTAGGACTTGAATATGATGCCGTTGTAGCCAACCTAACTGCAACGAGTAGTCAAGTCACTCTACAAGAAGCTCAATTTCTTCTTCATAAGCATGAAATCCGGCTTGAAAGACAACATAATGTGTACTCTAATTTTTCTGATCACTTAGCTTCAGCATTACTTGCTGCAAAACAGAGTGAAACTACTGTTAGTTCTCAGTTTAAGAATGGGAATATAACGGCATCTGTACCAGTAAATGCATCATCACATCTTGAGAATTCAAGTGCTCAACCTGCCTATCCTCCTACTCAGTACTTGACTCCACAAACTGGCCATTTTCCTACTCAGTACTTGACCTCACAGCCTAGCCATCCTAATGGGGGAAATATATTTCCACATGCTTCTCAATATGCTTAGTCTCAGTACTTGACTCCACAGAATGGTTCTCCTGATGGTGGATTTTCTCATTATCCTGGAATGATGATGTTTGGTCCTAATATGCAAAGAGGACGAGGCATAGGCCGAGGCTATTTTTGCCCTAAATTGATTTGCCAAGTATGTGGGAAGACTGGCCATTCTGCCCTTCACCGCTACCACCGGTTTAATCATGAATATCAGCAGATTGCTGGCTCACCTTCTGTTAATCCAACCAACACCACAATTCCTGGTTACACTGATGCTTCGACCCAAGCATTAATGGCAGCAAGAGTCATGCCTCCCCAGCCTTTTCCTTACTCATCATATGGACCTCAGTCTAACCAAAGACCTACATTCAATTTTCCACCACAATCATCTCAATCAACCACTCCCCAGTTTCAATCACCTTATACCTCAGTTAGTGCTACCTCACCACAGTATGTCTCAGCTCCTTCACAATAGTATAATGTGCCTTAATCATCCCTGACAACTTCGTTTACCAGTGACAGAGTAAACTCTAATCTAGCAGTCACAGGATTATCTGACCAAGGATCCTCATTTGCAGCTGCTACTCCTCACACCTTAAATGATCAGACCTGGTTTGTAGATTCTGGAGCTACAAATCATATGACAGCAGACCCTCAGAACATGCTTCTTCCATCAGCTTATCAAGGAGATACTCAAGTTCAGGTTGGTAATGGACATACAGTTCCTTGAAGGCTTAAACTAGTGAGGAAAAGTCATTCCAACTAGACCTAGGCAAGGACCGGTCCCACCAGATCAGGGTTTGGGCCCGATTGGGACCAATCACCAGTCCCATGCCCATGAAATTTTAGGGCCCGAACTAGTCCCTAGGACCGGTCCTATGGGCTTGAAATCCCCCCCCCCCCCCCCCCCCCCCCCCCCCCCCCCCAAGCTTTTTATATTTAGGGGCCAAAAAAAAATATGTAAAGGGTTTTATGTAATTTTTGGGAGATTAGTAAATTTTTATTTAATTTTAAAAAATAAAAGAAAATAAATACAACGGTCATGTGTGTGTGTAATTATTATTTTTTAAAATATCAATTAACCCTCAATATTTTTGTCAATTTCAAAATTTATAGGAGTTTTTGGATTTGTCCAGGAGGCTTTTGGAAAAAAGCAAAGGGGTTTGGGCTTGGGCCGGGACCATCCTAGGCCCATGCTTGGAGGAGGGCCCGATCCAGGGACCAGTCCCTCCTCCATGCCTTATCGGTTTGGGACCAAGCCTCCTAGGATTGGTTTATTGGCTGGTCCACAATGCCTAGATATGCCACTAATTTTCCAAATAACTTATCTTATGGTTCAAATTCACTAAGTAATTATGATATTACTAAATACCGATGTTATTTTTTATGGTGATCCCATGTTTTTGTAGTCTTGGTGGTGGTGGGTTCCTAGGACAAACTTTTTATTGAGGTTTTTTGTCGAGCACATAGGGCAATGAAGTAGGGGTGTTTTTTTCTTGGCTTTTAAGAGTTGGGTTGGTCAAGGAGCCCTGGGGGAGGATTTCATGCTTTGGAGAGGGGTGGAAGTCGGTGGAAGAAATTGTTGAGGTGATTGTCCTTTCTGATGGCAGACGTGCACGCCAATGCCAGTGCGTGCAGTGCTGGACGTGCCAGTCAATGTGCACCTACAACATGGGTGTATCAGTGGCGTTTCTGTGCGTTGGTCGCTTTTTCGATCATCAACTTTCGAAGTTTCAAAACCCAAGGCAACAAAATTAAATTTTTTTCAGTGTGGGTCTTTGGCATTGCATGGGGAGTCTTTACCTTTTTGGTTCGATAGGAGGTTGTTGGATTTTCGTCGCCTATTGGGCATTTTTTTTGGTTTTCTTTGGTTGTGTTCGTAACTCGGGGCATGTCCCAAGGTAGAAGGTGTTTGTGTATATCATAGTCTTGTGTAGGTCTTTTTTTGGGTCCTATCCCAGGGGTTTGTCCTGAGGTAAGCTCTGGTAGATTAATAATGACAGTGGGGACCACGACCCCACCTCAAACTTTAAAAATCAGATTTATATATATTTATATTATTTGCATTTGGCCCCTATAGATTGACATTTTGGGAAGAACAGATTTTGTTTTTGATTTTTGAACTCTTACCATTACAAGAACAACAATGCATGCCAAGACCTCTCTTCCCTCTTTCTCTCCATGGGCAGGTGCTCTAAAGACTAACTCTCAAGTCTCTCTCACCGAACTCTCCTTCAGTCTCAACCAACACTACTTTCATCAGTTTATCAAAGGTAATGTCCCTCACTAAATCCTAATTTTCTCTATTCATCGATGTTTTACAGTTTAGAACTTTTATATTGCTCTTCCAATAAAATGAGTATTATGTATTTAGAATTTGAGATCTGAAGTTAACAAACATGAATCGTGCTCCTAATGGCCAACCAGAGTTGTTGAAAGGGCCCTACATTTACCAACGTGGCAATGCCTAGACGTCTCCACGCCTACTTGTGAATTTTGAGAGACAAGGGTGTTCCTGTAAACCTATTGGCAACCCACACTAGCTACCCCAGCCATCAGAAGTCTCTCTGTAGACTGCAGTCCCCTTTCCCCTGTTGTTTCTCCCTTATAGTAAATATTCCTAAGAAGCAATATGCCTGAGTAGAACTAAGAATAGTGTCAAAGAATCCAAGCCTGAATTTCCCATATAGTATAATATTCTTAATTGAATAATTTTAAGAGAGAAAGAACAACCAATAAGAGAAAGAAAAAACAGAACAAACAAAATTCTGGAAACTGTTATTGTTTTTATTCCATTTTCGAATAATAAAATGCAGAGTACACTTATGTCATATATACACCCGAACGTAGAGTACAAACTCTTCTTTAGATCTACCACCAAATTCAAAAACCAGAGTTCATTGTTCACCTTCGTCAAACCAAAGAACACTCTCTTGGCCGTCGCAGTTGATAACACGATTAATGCATGCAAGTTGCTCAACAACTGGCATTAACAGAATGCAGTTGGTTAGCAAGTTGACTTAACGATTGCAAGGACTTGGCAAGTTTTTTCTACGTTGCATTCCCAGAGTCATGCAGACCATACTCTGCTTTGAGTTGAAGCTTGAACATATTCTGTCACACACCCCTCAAGCAAAACTCAACAAAAAAAATCCCATCGTCCCTCAAGCTTAACCTGTCTAGTTAGCTCACTTTACCACTGACTTGAATTTGCAGCGTGTCAGATAGTCAGTTTGTCCCTCAAGCTCAAATTCGAAGAGACAGAGAGACGAATTGTCCACGAAGAGTGTGAAATCGCACATGGGAGAGGTTTGGTAAGAATTGGTAACTTGGAAAGTGGAAGCAACTACTACAACTAAGCGTTTAGCTTGACCATTCCTCGCACAAATGCACATTAATTTCAATTGGTTGTGTGAGCATGGAAGACGGGATTGGAAGCAGAGCTCAGTGCTTGTGTTGTCACACCCGAGAACAGGGAGTCTAGGAATGAAGACATGAAGCTCCTTAAACAGGTTTTGAACAAGCAATCCAGTGCAAACATGCGCTAAGCGCGCTATTCTGCTTAGTGGAGGATAAGGCAACCACCTGCAGTTTTTTGGAGGACCATTGAATCAGTTTAGAGCCAAGGAAGATACAATAGCCACTGGTAGTTTCTGGTCATATTGGCTACTCGTCCAGTCAACATCAGCTCTTGCCAAGTCAGCATCAACATATCCTTCAAGCTGTAGACTGGA